TTGATAACTGACGATGTACATTTCGTCCATGGCAACGGACATATGTGAGTTCTTCAATAATATACAAAACACACACACTTTTCACTTGGGAATCTTCTTTTAATAAAATTTTATTACATTCTGAAACGTTCAAAAATATTTTAAATGTCTGATGTTAAAGTTTGACTCCGGAAAAGGACATTATAAGTTATATGGTTCGCTACTGACCCCCTACGGATCCATAAAGGGTTAGTAAAATCCATAGGGGGTGAGGCCGAAGGCCGAATCCCCTATGGATTTTATTCACCCTCTATGGTCTGTAAGGGGTCAGTAGTGAACCGTATGACAAATTTATCGCACGCGATACTTTTTCAGCAGCGTTTTGTAGAAAAATAAACAATGAAATACAAAAACATCAATAGATGACGTCACCATTAACAGTAGCCGTGACGTCATGAACCCACTATGAAATTTACTAACCCCCTACGGATCCATAGGGGGTCACCAAGTGACGGCGTTAAACCAATCACAACGTAATAATTTACCCGCGGTGCGATAAATGACGTCACACTGGTATGTGCAAAGGACTAGATCATGGATTCGAGGATTTTTTTTTATTTAACACAATGAGAGTGTTGATCATATGAGAAATAGGTTTAACAGCTCCTGAAAATTGAATATTGCTTGATATCAACTCTCGTTATTTAATTTAAATAGTAATAATAAACTCGCCGAAGGCTCGTTTATTATTATATTGAAATTTAAAGATAGGCGAAAGATACCAGAGGGACATTCAACTCATCAATCGAAAATAAACTGACCGTGGCAACGCCCTGGCTAAAAAAGAAAAAAGACAAACAGACAAACAATAGTACACAAAACACAACATAGAAAACTGCAAAGACTAGGCAACACGAACCCTACCAAAAACTTGGTTGATCTCAGGTGCTCCGGATGGGGTAAGCAGATCCTGCTCCACATGTGGCACCCGTCGTGTTGCTCATGTTTGTACAAACCCGACAAATAGTCTAATTCGGTAGGTTACATTCGTGAAAAGGGAATGGGATTGTAGTTACGACATTAGGAACATATCCGCTATTATCTGTGAAACGAATATTCCATAACGGTCAACCAACTCGTAAAATTTACGAAAGGATGATTTCAACTTCACCATTTGGAACTCTTGGTTTAATAGCTTCCTTGTGAGCAGCAACCCTATATCAAGGAATCATGATAGGAAATACAAGTCCGGGAATATCGTATCGATTATAAATAACTCGAGTTGATATGAAGCGATATCCAATTATCACTCGTTATGAAACCTATAAATATCATTTGGGTTTTTCAATATCACACCTGTAAGACACCAATATAACCCCAAGAGCTCTGCTCGAGGGATTACAATGGTTGAGGGTTGACACGGAGTGTGATATTGAAAAGCCATATTATATACTCTTTATTATATACATGTACCTCAAGAACAACTAATTGAGATGGGTGGGTTTGTTTCACGAGACATGACGTAATACATATCAGGGGTTTGATAAAGCCTTTGTAAACATGTCTGATATTCATTACGCGACGTCGTTCAGATTATAAGAATTTGATAAAGCGTTTGCAACTGTGACTGATATCGATTTCATCACGGATGTTTGATACAGCACGATTGTCATTAAGTGTATTACACTTACTTGTATTAGTTACCAAGTTTATTATTAGGTTATTTATCATATACTTATAGAAAATAATGGTATAATTGTACCCCTTGATAACCGTTAAAAACAATATTTAAAAATATTATCACAGTAATCAATTTTTAAACCTTTAGAATCAATTTAGTGAAAGGTTCGATAAGTTTAACCAGATCTTTTCTAAATTTACGGGCTCGATAAAAACATCACCTTAAAATTTAAGATGCGCTATTGTATCTTTGAAAGAATTTAATAAAGGTTTAAAATAATTTGTGGAAACGGAAACCTAGACTTCATGATTAACCAGTTATACATAGATTACGCTTATTAAATCCAAAACGTAACTACAGATTTGCATAGCAAATGAATTGGGATATTTAGAAAAAAATACCGTAAGTGGGAACAAATGGAAAATCACCGTAAAAAAAGAAAATTAGCAATGTGGAAAACATCGTCTCTTTTGTCGTCACTTTTTGTGAAGAGTTTCCAGTGTGGAACCTAAATACCGTTATATAGGAAAGGAAGTTATTGCTGTTTATTTATGATTTATCTAAAATGAGTTACTGTGGGTAAATTTCGGCAGTATATTTAGATAATTCTTCATACGTTTGTCAAGTCTACTCATTTTATCGGATATTTTTATCTTTACGACAAAAGATAGAAATGCTGAACAAAGTTACCACACTTTGGATTAGTTATTTAGACATTGTTAGAGGGACGTGCAGTTGAAAGATAATGCTAGCTTCTTTTCATTTGTCATGATAAGCTCCTATATCCGGTCTTCCTGGCCCCAGTCAGTAAAATCAAAGTTAGTTGCACTATTAGTCCAGCGAAATCGTCCTTCAACATTAAAATTATTTGCACCAAGTAAAGCATGAAAAAATATATGGTGAAAACCGGAAATATATAGATCAGTATAAATAAGAGTCAACTTTACAAAAAGTCAAACTCGTAAATCTTATTTTGGGGAGAAAATTGAATTTATTACGATGACTCCAAAAGAAACAAGACCAGGGGCGTCAACATAATCACAAATATTAGTACATCGGATATGAGAATAATTGACCATTTTATGATACAAGCGTGAAACTTGGCATAGTAAGGGATTAAGGGATATAAAGACAATTCAAATATGGAGGTATGAAAAAAAAAAAAAAAAATATGGCCGACAAATTAAAGATGGCCGACATCAGGTACTAAGAATGCAACATCATACACTTGATGAAGTCTACCAATATGCACCATACACTGGATGAAGTCTTCCAATATGCATCATACACTTGATGAAGTCTACCAATATGCATCATACACTAGATGAAGTCTACCAATATACATCATACACTGGATGAAGTCTACCAATATGCATCATACACTGGATGAAGTCTACCAATATGCATCATACACTAGATGAAGTCTACCAATATGCATCATACACAAGATGAAGTCTATGAAATGCAATATGCAAGAGAATTGTATTTATTGCACGGACTCAAAAAGAAGCAATTCCGGAAGCGTCAAAGTAATCACCAATATTTCAGCGGATAAAAGCATGAAAATTGGCATAGTGAAAGATTAAGGGGTATAAAGAAAATTCATATAAAGAGCCTCGAAAAAAATTTCAAATATGGCCAACATAATGTACTGGGAATGCAACATCATACTACAAATATGCAAAGAGGCAAAGGATACCAAAAGTACAATCAAACTCATAAGTCGAAAATAAACTGACAACGCCATGGCTAAAAAAGAAAAAGACAAACAGACAAGAGTTTAGTCGATATCGTAATTCAAGAAAATACATTAAGGATATGTCAATAATTATTTTTTCAAATTATTAATACACAATTATTTAAAAAGGCCTCCAAAATTCAAAATGACACCGCCCAAAACATCAGAGTTTGACGGTATTTTGTAATAATGTAGTCTAAAAATGATACAAACATTATGAAACATCTATTTGGATACAAATGCAAACCAACATATATTTTTTTGTAAGAGGTGTCATATAAACTATAAAATAAACATACAATAAAAAATGGCGTCTCTGACAAGGTCTAAATTACACAGTTATTGTTCAAGTTTACATGACTTCAGAAAATCTTTCAATTTTTCTAGCAATGAAACATATGTATGAAACCCTACAAAGATATGAAACAAGCATTTCAATTTTGAAAATGTGAGCGAAAATAAAAATGGAGCCTCAAAAGTAACTTTTTGGCAAAACAACTGTATAGAAGTGTGTTGATAATTAAATATGATTCAAATGCAGGATAATTAAAATTAAGCATCAATCAGTTTCTCTCTCGCAGTACGGTGAGCAGTTACATTATGATATGCATTTCAATGCTGCTTTCAAGAATTTACATGCCCCTCGACATCCTTTCTTACAGTGGATGAACTCTTGACATGACAGTGCAGCTTCTGCAAGCCCTGAACAGAATGATACCGACGTACCATTTCGTTTTTGCAAACCAAAAACATTTGGTGATGGCATACCAGGATTTGCGACTAAAATATTACCTCCAAACAACACTAACTAGGTAAGCTAAACGTTTCGTATGTTCTAGAAGTGCATCTCGTCACATTTTCGTGTCATTGTTGAATAGGAATATTGTCAATTGTTCTTGTCTTCTGTGTAAATAAATGTTTTCTTACTTCATTCATTGTATTAAATTAAATAAACCGATCATACAGAAGCACAACATACCATTCTATAACTTTTTATCTTCTGAATAGTATTCATTAAATGTTTTGACATTGGTTGCCTTAAGCATATTAACAAATGCAGATCCAGTTTTTTCCTAGACGGATTGTACCATTTGAAATAAGCGGTGTTTTCCATCTCTTGATTGGTTAGAAATATACAGTCTTGAAAATAAAGAACAATTACTTTATAAAGACTGCAATGTCATGTCAAGAATTCATCCACTGTTAGAAAGGATGTCGAAGGGCATGTAAATGCTTCAAAGCAGCATTGAAATGCATATCATCACAGTTGTGATCTATGGTAGATTTTTTTTTTCAGGAGGTGATGTTTAAAAAAGTGGTTTATTGTTCCTCTTTCACCAAAGACAGACGTTTTTCGATCGACAAGGTGTTATCGTCAAGTATAGACGTTACAAATATCAATACTGTCAATGAAAATTGCAGGGTTACATACCAGGATTCACTACACGAAAAGGCAGATTTACAACAATTTGGGCAATCATGTAAATGTTTGACAAATATAACTACTTTTCTGCCAGATATATTTGCGGACCTACTAATGTATGAGTCATTCTCAGAATCCGTCAAAATGCAGAACAGGCAGTTAGAATAAATACAAGTAAAAGGAATCCAAAATTTTATTATGTTCTATAAAACTATGACATATAAGAAGTTAACAAACAAAATATGCAACCTTAATCAAATGTTAAACATATAAAATATTGTGATCGAAATGGTATGGATGACGAAAAATGTCCTTCCTGTAACAACATATGTGTAGGTCCATAAAATATTTGTTTTATACTTTAGAGCTAAACATTTTTTTGTGTGTAATCCTTAAATACATATTTCACACACTGAAACTAAAAAAAACATCATTTACATTAGATTATGCTTGTTTTGTTTTCATTTGATGCATTGAAATTTTACATTTTAATATTATGTTACAAAAAAAGTATTGTTACGAGTATAAAATGGAAATTTTCATAGCTAATTAAGTTATTTGTAGTTTGAAAATAATTAACTGTGGGATATGATATAAATAATTTCATCTTACAACATATATTATTTCTCCCAGATTGTAAAAGAAAGCTTGTTACAGGAAGGACATCATTGTTATTGGATGGACTGTTTTGTTACAGGACGGACATCTGATTGTCTTAAAGTGTCTACCAATGTTGTTTCAGTCTATTTATTTTCAAAACTACACTACACAATACTGTAAAAGATATGTTTTATATATATAAGACTTAATAAAGGATGTTGAAGTCACACAATCCCATGGGAAATCAACTTGTTACAGGACGGACATCAACTTGTTACAGGACGGACATCTGATTGTCTTAAAGTGTCTTCCAATGTTGTTTCAGTCTATTTATTTTCAAAACTACACTACACAATACTGTAAAAGATATGTTTTATATATATAAGACTTAAAAAGGGATATTGAAGTCACACAATCCCATGGGAAATCAACTTGTTACAGGACGGACATCAACTTGTTACAGGACGGACATCTGATTGTCTTAAAGTGTCTTCCAATGTTGTTTCAGTCTATTTATTTTCAAAACTACACTAAACAATACTGTAAAAAGATATGTTTTAGATATATTAGACTTAAAAAGACACAATCCCATGGGAAATCAACTTGTTTCATTTCAGTTCATCTGTAATTTGATTCCATATGTCTTGATCAATTTTGTAGTGTGAATATGATCCCTCTATTTTTGTAGGTTCCGGGATAACTGCTAACACATCATCAAACTCATACCAACACTTGTCTTTGATTGTTCTAGGCCAAAAAAAGCAATTATTATCTTTTTTACCCACTCGGTGCATACATTGTACATAGATATCGCTCTCTCCAGCATCCTCTACAACACCAGGGTATGGTTTCTCGTCATACTTGATGACAACATATTTACCCACACATTTAGATGGATCTGGGACATCTTTCCAATTTGTGTCATTCTCATTACACGTAAGGCTCTCAATTTCAGATGGATTGCCAATCGTTTCTCCAACTTCATTTGCATTCTCCACTTTACCAGATTCTTCGTCACTTTGCTTTGCATTCTCCACTTTACCAGATTCTTCGTCACTTTGCTTTGTATTCTCCACTTTACCAGATTCTTCGTCACTTTGCTTTGCATTTTCAACTTTGATTTCCTTTTCCCTTTGATTTTTAATTTTTTCTTCTTTTTTCTCTACATTTTCAGATTCTTCTTCATTTTTCTCTTTAGATTCTTCCTTTTCAGGGTTTTCTTCAGTTTTCTTTTTAGATTCTTCCTTTTCATCTACATTTATTGGTTTTTCCTCAATTTTCTGTACATTTTCAATTTTTTCTGCTTTATTCTCTGCAATTGCAGTTTCTTCACCTTTCTCTACTTTTTCAGATTCTATACTGTTCTCTATATTTTCAGATTCTTTGTTATTGTTCTCTAGATTTTCCGATTCTTCTTTATTGTTCTCTTCATTTTCAGATAGACTGGTTCTCTTTCCTTTATCTGTTTGGCTCTGTAGACAGCCTACATTTTCAGATTCTCCTTTATTGTTTTCTTGATTTTTAGATTCTTCCTTTTCAGGGTTTTCTTCAGTTTTCTTTTTAGATTCTTCCTTTTCATCTTCATTTATTGATTTTTCCTCAATTTTCTGTACATTTTCAATTTTTTCTGCTTTATTCTCTGCAATTGCAGATTCTTCACCTTTCTCTACTTTTTCAGATTCTATACTGTTCTCTATATTTTCAGATTCTTTGTTATTGTTCTCTAGATTTTCCGATTCTTCTTTATTGTTCTCTTCATTTTCAGATAGACTGGTTCTCTGTCCTTTATCTGTTTGGCTCTGTAGACAGCCTACATTTTCAGATTCTCCTTTATTGTTTTCTTGATTTTTAGATTCTTCTTCACTTTTCTCTTCATTTTTAACTTCTCTTCCCTTTTCCGTTAAATTTCCAGATTCTACTTTAATTTCCTCTATAAACCAAGATTTCACTTCTATTTTATTTCCCTCTACATTTGCATTTATAATTTCACTTTTTCCTTCTTTTTCCTTTTCATGTTGATTTTGATCTTCGATTGTATCTATGTTTTCAGTTTTGAATTCTTTACGTCCATTGTCTTCTATAATGATGTTGTCTATAGGTAAGATAGGAACAAAATGGTTTGGTACCCAGTGCTCGTTGTTCATATCGGCACTCCTTGTACTTGTCCAAAAAATGTAAATAGGTTGTTTATGTTTATATTCTCTAGGTAAAATGAGGCGATTAAGGTCCTGGCGTACGTTTGGATTTCCTAATTTTGGATATACTGAATATATTGGGGTGCATAACACACTTGAAAGGGCATGTATTTGCCAAATTCCCATATAGGTTTTATCCAATCTGATCTTCATTATTTCTTTTTGGTAAATGCTTCTAATTATATTTTCGGTCAGATGAATTCCAGGCAAGTACATGTCTGAATACTGTGCATATATTGTGGGTAGGTTCTTTGAGGATTTTGTGTTTGTTGTTCCTTTTAGCAGAAAGTTATTATCCAAGTATAGATGTTCATTTTGGACAAGTTCTATTACAATTCTTAGTCTAATTTCTGATGCTTTAATATTGATTTATGTGCAAAGACACTTCCACATGATGGGAGACAATTGCCATCACTGCTTACTTTACAGGGATATAATGCCCTTGTATCTGGAACATCATCTGGATAATTATCCATTGCTTTTGCATCAACTTCCATTCTTTGGTCCATGATATTAACCATCAATGGGTTACTTTCCAAGGTCCCAAGGTCTTTTATTAGTTGACTACATCTACTCTTTAACTGTCTGTGTGATTTCACATCCTTAAGGCTATATATTGCTTCATTCATGTCAAATGGCAATTCAGTATTTGTATGTTCCTCTGATTTTGCTTTTTTCGGTTTACTGGGTCCATTTTCTTCTGTTAAGTCAATAGCATAAAGAGATTCTAAAGATTGTGGTTTTAATTTTGTTTTGACTTCTTGCTGTTTTTTATCTGCCAGTATCCTTGAAAATTTGATTTCTTGTCCTGTACAAAATGAGCAGTCACTTGGTTCCTGGCAAGTACAACTTATGTTTCTATAGGCAATCTCATAGTCCTTCTGAAAGATCAGTTGGTGTAACTTCATTGTACCTGGAATTGGCTTTAGTTGTGCTGCTTGTAGTAACTTTTGTTCCTTTTGTATATCTCTGTCGGATACTAAATAACCAACACTCTCACTGTTAGACATACAATCTAAAAATATATCTGCATTTGTAATGTCCTTGCCAAATTTAACTTCTGTGTCAGCATGTCTCTTTAAAGCACCACCTACAGCATCTGGTATCCCTTTTCCATGACCAGCTTCAAAAAAGTTCCAGCAAAAGTTTTGAAAGCCGTATTTTGGAAGGTTTGTACAAGCAAGATAAAAGTTTCCCTTCTGGCGATACTGGGTTGTTGGTCCATCACTGAATATTTCAAGGGAGGTAACATCAGGGCTCTCCTGTTTTATTCTTTTTAGAATTGGCTTTAAATGTGCCCAAATCCCTGCAGGACCATGTTGTAAATTCTCAGAAACTGTGCAAAAGGTTTTTTGATAGTTGGAAACGTAATAAACTCCAGTATGTAGGGATAGCTGTTTCTTTGAGGCGCCAAAATGCATGCTTTGAATTTCTTCACTCATTTTACAAACATAATTTTCTGAAAAGTCAATGTGCAACAGGCACTCATCCTTTTTTAGAGATTGTTTTCTGTTCTTGAAGTATCCATACTGTGCTCTTATTGTAAAAACATGTTTTTTAAACCTGACCAGCTCATCTTCAAATTTATTAACCAGATCTGAAGCAGACATTTCCATTGTCTCCTTGACAGTAAGGGTGATGTTCTTTTCTTCTTCTTTTACCAGTCTTTTTTCGATCTTTGATGTCCACTGACTAAATTCAACTTCATCATTTCCTTTAGATGTATCATAAGATATCCTGTTGTTTTTACAGACTTCGCACGTTCCAAACATGCATCTTCTTTTCAGCAAGTATGTATCTTGATCACAAGTCAGTCCATCAATAATTTTTTCTAATTCATCCGTTTCAATTATATTTGATTTTTTTAAGGCATTAGCAATATACTTAGCATTCTCACATAGCTTGCAAAGACAAGTGCTCCTGTCACTTTCATTAGGAAATACCACCCAAAATGGCCGCAGTCTGCAGAATGTTGAATAACTCACTTTTGTGGTTGACTCAGCCAGGAATTTTAAATGAATATTTTGTAAAGTATCAAGTAAAACCCGTCGCTGCTTCTTAATTTTCTTAAATGTAACAGTTTGTTTCACCCCCGTAGATAGTCTTGATACATCATTACGTTCGTAAAATTCTCTGACTGGTTTACACATTCTTCTTGATAGACTTGTTTTTACCTTTAAGGTATTTCTCACATCTATACCACAGTTACGATAAGCAGTTGTTTTCAAGTTATATTTCCTAAGCAGTGAACCTCTTAAAATGGCTGCCAAACTTCTTTTCTGCGAGTTGTCTTTAAGGTTCTGATAGGATTGTTTGATCTGTCCCTCCATTGCATAATGATATATCAGAGTTTTTCGTACTTCTTTTTGTGAAAAATTCCTCAGCAACTTCTTTGTTTTTGTTCTTGGTGTGTCTGGACAAGGCTTGTCAAGGTTTGCCCTCTTCCTCTTTTCTCTCAAATATCTTTGCTTATACATTTGTATTTTTCTTTTTTGTTTAGCCAATTTGTCTTCCAAAATTTTGTTGTCCCTGTAACATTTTGCTTGATCTCTATTTCTTTTTTAGCTCACCTGGCCCGAAGGGCCAAGTGAGCTTTTCTCATCACTTGGCGTCCGTCGTCCGTCGTCGTCCGTCGTCGGCGTTAACTTTTTACATTTTGAACTTCTTCTAGAGAACCACTGAATGGAATGAAACCAAACATGGCATGAATGTTCCTTATGAGGTGCTGACCAAGTGTTGTTACTTTGTAGCCGATCCATCATCCAAGATGGCCGCCAGCGGGGGACTTAGTTTAACATAGGACCCTATGGGAAATGCATACAAATGACTTCTTTAAGAGAACCACTGAATGGAATGAAACCAAACATGGCATGAATGTTCCTTATGAGGTGCTGACCAAGTGTTGTTACTTTGTAGCCGATCCATCATCCAAGATGGCCGCCAGCGGGGGACTTAGTTTAACATAGGACCCTATGGGAAATACATTAAAATGTCTTCTTTTAGAGAACCACTGAATGGAATGGAACCAAACATGGCATGAATGTTCCTTATGAGATGCTGACCAAGTGTTGTTACTTTGCAGTCGGTTCATCATCCAAAATGGCCGCCAGCGGGGGACTTAATTTAACATAGGACCCTATGGGAAATACATACAAATGTCTTCTTTTAGAAAACCACTGAATGGAATGAAACCAAACATGGCATGAATGTTCCTTACGAGGTGCTCACCAAGTGTTGTTACTTTGTAGCCGATCCATCATCCAAGATGGCCGCCAGCGGAGGACTTAGTTTAACATAGGACCCTATGGGAAATGCATACAAATGACTTCTTTTAGAGAACCACTGAATGGAATGAAACCAAACATGGCATGAATGTTCCTTATGAGGTGCTGACCAAGTGTTGTTACTTTGTAGCCGATCCATCATCCAAGATGGCCGCCAGCGGGGGACTTAGTTTAACATAGGACCCTATGGGAAATACATACAAATGTCTTCTTTTAGAGAACCACTGAATGGAATGGAACCAAACATGGCATGAATGTTTCTTATGAGATGCTGACCAAGTGTTGTTACTTTGCAGTTGGTCCATCATCCAAGATGGCCGCCAGCGGGGGACTTAGTTTAACATAGGACCCTATGGGAAATACATACAAATGTCTTCTTTTAGAGAACCACTGAATGGAATGAAACCAAACATGGCATGAATGTTCCTTATGAGGTGCTGACCAAGTGTTGTTACTTTGTAGCCGATCCATCATCCAAGATGGCCGCCAGCAGGGGACTTAGTTTAACATAGGACCCTATGGGAAATGCATACAAATGACTTCTTTTAGAGAACCACTGAATGGAATGAAACCAAACATGGCATGAATGTTCCTTATGAGGTGCTGACCAAGTGTTGTTACTTTGTAGCCGATCCATCATCCAAGATGGCCGCCAGCGGGGGACTTAGTTTAACATAGGACCCTATGGGAAATGCATAAAAATGTCTTCTTTTAGAGAACCACTGAATGGAATGGAACCAAACATGGCATGAATGTTCCTTATGAGATGCTGACCAAGTGTTGTTACTTTGCAGTCGGTCCATCATCCAAAATGGCCGCCAGCGGGGGACTTAATTTAACATAGGACCCTATGGGAAATACATACAAATGTCTTCTTTTAGAGAACCACTGAATGGAATGAAACCAAACATGGCATGAATGTTCCTTATGAGGTGCTCACCAAGTGTTGTTACTTTGTAGCCAATCCATCATCCAAGATGGCCGCCAGCGGGGGACTTAGTTTAACATAGGACCCTATGGGAAATGCATACAAATGACTTCTTTTAGAGAACCACTGAATGGAATGAAACCAAACATGGCATGAATGTTCCTTATGAGGTGCTGACCAAGTGTTGTTACTTTGTAGCCGATCCATCATCCAAGATGGCCGCCAGCGGGGGACTTAGTTTAACATAGGACCCTATGGGAAATACATAAAAATTTCTTCTTTTAGAGAACCACTGAATGGAATGGAACCAAACATGGCATGAATGTTCCTTATGAGATGCTGACCAAGTGTTGTTACTTTGCAGTCGGTCCATCATCCAAGATGGCCGCCAGCGGGGGACTTAGTTTAACATAGGACCCTATGGGAAATACATACAAATGTCTTCTTTTAGAGAACCACTGAATGGAATGAAATCAAACATGGCATGAATCTTCCTTATGAGATGCTGACCAAGTGTTATTATTTTGTAGCCGATCCATCATCCAAGATGGCCGCCAGCCGGGGACTTAGTTTAACATAGGACCCTATGGGAAATGCATACAAATGACTTCTTTTAGAGAACCACTGAATGGAATGAAACCAAACATGGCATGAATGTTCCTTATGAGGTGCTGACCAAGTGTTGTTACTTTGTAGCCGATCCATCATCCAAGATGGCCGCCAGCGGGGGACTTAGTTTAACATAGGACCCTATGGGAAATACATAAAAATGTCTTCTTTTAGAGAACCACTGAATGGAATGGAACCAAACATGGCATGAATGTTCCTTATGAGGTGCTGACCAAGTGTTGTTACTTTACAGGCGGTCCATCATCCAAGATGGCCGCCAGCGGGGGACTTAGTTTAACATAGGACCCTATGGGAAATACATACAAATGTCTTCTTTTAGAGAACCACTGAATGGAATGAAACCAAACATGGCATGAATGTTCCTTATGAGGTTCTGACCAAGTGTTGTTACTTTGTAGCCGATCCATCATCCAAGATGGCCGCCAGCGGGGGACTTAGTTTAACATAGGACCCTATGGGAAATACATACAAATGTCTTCTTTTAGAGAACCACTGAATGGAATGAAACCAAACATGGCATGAATGTTCCTTATGAGGTGCTGACCAAGTGTTGTTACTTTGCAGTCGGTCCATCATCCAAGATGGCCGCCAGCAGGGGACTTAGTTTAACAAAGGACCTATGGGAAATACATACAAATGTCTTCTTTTAGAGAACCACTGAATGGAATGAAACCAAACATGGCATGAATCTTCCTTATGAGATGCTGACCAAGTGTTGTTACTTTGTAGCCGATCCATCATCCAAGATGGCCGCCAGCGGGGGACTTAGTTTAACATAGGACCCTATGGGAAATACATAAAAATGTCTTCTTTTAGAGAACCACTGAATGGAATGGAACCAAACATGGCATGAATGTTCCTTATGAGGTGCTGACCAAGTGTTGTTACTTTACAGGCGGTCCATCATCCAAGATGGCCGCCAGCGGGGGACTTAGTTTAACATAGGACCCTATGGGAAATACATACAAATGTCTTCTTTTAGAGAACCACTGAATGGAATGAAACCAAACATGGCATGAATGTTCCTTATGAGGTTCTGACCAAGTGTTGTTACTTTGTAGCCGATCCATCATCCAAGATGGCCGCCAGCGGGGGACTTAGTTTAACATAGGACCCTATGGGAAATACATACAAATGTCTTCTTTTAGAGAACCACTGAATGGAATGAAACCAAACATGGCATGAATGTTCCTTATGAGGTGCTGACCAAGTGTTGTTACTTTGCAGTCGGTCCATCATCCAAGATGGCCGCCAGCAGGGGACTTAGTTTAACAAAGGACCTATGGGAAATACATACAAATGTCTTCTTTTAGAGAACCACTGAATGGAATGAAACCAAACATGGCATGAATCTTCCTTATGAGATGCTGACCAAGTGTTGTTACTTTGTAGCCGATCCATCATCCAAGACGGCCGCCTGCGGGGGGCTTTTTTTAACATAGGACCCTATGGGAAATACATACAAATGTCTTCTTTTAGAGTACCACTGAATGGAATGAAACCAAACATGGCATGAATGTTCCTTATGAAGAGGTGACCAAGTGTCTCTACTTTGTTGCCGATTTACTGTTCAAGATGGCCACCAGGATATTTTATTAAATAAAGGGACCAATATTAATCAAAATTTGGCCTCAATCATTATTTGGGTATCTGTTATGATTTTTATCTATCTTTACATGATTTCTAAAACCAAAGTAGAGTCAGGTGAGCGACACAGGCTCTAGAGAGCCTCTAGTTTTACACTCTGTACTTTCTGACGTGAAGGACCAGGTTGCAAATTTGGAGATGATTCTGGAGTGTTAGGTGGAGTAATTAATTTGAGTAGTGTCTTTTTGGCTGATCTCTCTTTATGTTTTGCTGTTCTCCATTTTTTCCTTGCAGATCTCTTTTCCCGTTCAGTCATATCTTTCACACTTTTCTTTTTTCCAGTTCTCTTTTCTTTTTGATATCTTTCTTTTTCTTTATTCAGATAGGCCTCTCTCTTTACAAGATCTTTATTTCGATTTTCTCTGAATTTTCTTTGCCTTTCAGCGTTAGACATACCCATATCTGTAAATAAAGAATATATGAAATAGAGACACTTGTTTATAGAGAATGTTCTGTTTTTTAATGTTTCATAAATACATGTTGTAATTTGCAACAAAAATTATCATTTAATATTTGTCCTTCACTCTACTATAGATTTCTAAAAGAAAAGTTAAGTTTGATCAGTGAGGGTGGTTTTAATTGAAGTCCATATTAATATCAGATTATAGAATAGAGTAGAGAATGGTTTAATGGAATGCTTTTGGTATAAATATATCAAAATGTCAAATATGTCTTTCCAACAACATTATAAAATAAAGATAGTATTTTCAAATATATTGGCCATCAAACAAGATTGTATTTGAATTATTGTATACATACTTAAAATTTGAAGTTTCTCTTCTGTTGAATACAAGGAAAATCTATTCTAAACCGTTGACTTGTTAGTTTATGTACAGTATTCCATCCAGTTACAAAGCACATCTTTCCTGTAACAAAAGAAAACTATCTGTATTTCCCTATTTTCCTGGCTGACATCTTTTCAATTTTTATCTATTTATCATGTGAAATATTTGTCTAAAAAAATACAAAGTGCAGAAGTATTGTGAAAAAGGAATTTCGGATTAAAATTGCTAGAATATCCTTTACATGAAAGGAATATGTCTTTCCTGTAACAAGAATATTATCATGTGTATTTCTCTTATTCCTTGAGGTATATTTCCTAATTTTCTTAATGCATCTAAGTATATATGGTCTCTGAAATTTTAGTACCATTAAAGAAAACATTATTTCATCATTTTAAAGCATCGGGAGTACAAAATTGTGAAATAAGTTCTTTCCAGTAACAAACTAATGTCTTTCCCGTAACAACAATATAAGTTTAAGCATCTTTCGTTTAGTGCTGTGAGATTGTTCTTGCTTTTTTTATCTATTTATTAAACATCTTTATTTACAAAGTGGAAAGAACATTATAAGAAATTATGTCTTATTCTAAATCGTTGTTTGAAATTAAAAAAAGTAAAAAATGTCTCTTCCAGTAACAAAATATGTCTTTCCTGTAACAAGAATATAAAAATGTGTGCTCCTTTTGCTTATGGTTAAAACTTTATGTAATTTCTTAATACATCTCTTGCATACTTCACATCTAAGTATTAAATAACATAACTTAACAAAATAAAATATCTTTTGAAGGCATTTATAGTATAATATTGCAAGAAATGTTCTATCCAGTAACAAAATAATGTCTTTACTGTAACAAGAATATGAAAATGTGTGCTCCTTTCACTTATGGTTAAAATTTCTGTAAATTTCTTAATACATCTCTTGCATACTTCACATCTAAGTATTAAATAACATAACTTAACAAAATAAAATATCTTTTGAAGGCATTTAGAGTATAATATTGCAAGAAATGTTCCTTCCAATAACAAAATATGTCCTTACTGTAACACATTTAAATGTTACTGTAATGACTGTTACTGGAATGACATATTTATAATGTTTGGTAAATACATAAATAACTGCTCCCTCATGGGAATTTCCCTACTGCTAAAAAAAGAGATGAACATGCTGTCTTATCTCTGTGAAAAGATCAAATCATTAAACTTTAATTTTGTTTTTCAAGACACTGTTACAGTATTGACATATGCATAATATATTTTGATGGGCTACTTACAAATCTGTTTTCTTTCAAAACTTTTTGTTTTCAACTTTTGGCAGCTTCATGCTATATTCAAAGAGTTATGATAGTGAGGCTCTAACAGGAAGTTGCAGCCTCATCAACTGTAAGGATCCTTCATTATTTCATAAATGTAGCAAATGTTACTGGAATGACTGTAAGTTCAGCGACAGTCATAAATGTAGTTTTTTAATAATAGAAATTAATGTAATGTGTGCAATTGTATGCTATATTTGGTTTCTTCTGGACTTGTTTGATATAATTTGAAACAATTTTGTGAAAACAAACATGCAAATATCTATTCAAAGTACTTATCATTAATAGATTTGGCAGTGGGAACACGTTCTAAGTTACAGAAATGGATATACTTTTTGTTAATTTTTCGATTCATGCAAGAAGTGACATCAAAAACAACTCTAATATATACAGTTTTCATTATTAAGTTCATAAAAAGTCTAAACATGAAATGCTAAAATACAATTAAATAAAATTAAAGCTTGAAAACAAAGATTTTGACTGATTTTGAGAATGACTCGTATATGTAAATGCATTATTCCTTTGGAATTTTTAGGACGTCCTCAAAGATATGCTAAAGATAATTATTTTATTTCCATAGATTTATTCATATTCCAAAGATATGTAAAGATAGGCTTTAGATTTGCATGCACTTTCCAGGATAGGAGATATATGCAAAGTTTAAAATTTGCATAACTGTTTTACAGAGGCGTGGGCTGTTTTGAGAGACCGCGGTTTATAAAACATTTACAACCAATGTAAATGCTGTCAAATGTTTCTGTTATATTTGCAAACGTTTCTCGATATCGTTCATGCATGTAAAGAAATGTATTTTATTTACTTATACTTTACAGTATTATAGTTATTTTGCTAAATATTGATATTTGCAACATATCTTTACAGACGTATGCAAAGTTTTGAGAGACCGCGGTTTATAAAACATTTACAACCAATGTAAATGCTGTCAAATGTTTGTGTTATATTTGCAAATGTTTGTCGATATCGTTTATGTATGTAAAGAAGTGTATTTTATTTACTAATACTTTCCATTATCATAAATATTTTGATAAATATCGATATTTGCAACATATCTTTACAGACGTATGCAAAGTTTTGAGAGACCGCGGTTTATAAAACATTTACAACCAATGTAAATGCTGTCAAAAGTTTCTGTTATATTTGCAAACGTTTGTCGATATCGTTCATGTTTGTAAAGAAATGTATTTTATTTACTAATACTTTCCGGTATTATAGTTATTTTGCTAAATATTGATATTTGCAACATATCTCTACACAGGTATGCAAAGTTTTGAGAGACCGCGGTTTATAAAACATTTACAACCAAAGTAAATGCTGACAAATACTTGCTTATTTTTGCAAACATTTGTCGGATGTATTCATGTACGTAAAGAAATGCATTTTATTTACTTCATAGTTATTATATGAAACATTGATACTGTTAAGTTGTCTTTACACAGGTATAGCTTTGCGAGACTGCAGTTTATATCTCGCATGCACAACAAACGTAAATGAGGGTCGTGATTAGAACTAAAAGAAGAAAAAAAGAAAATAATTTATTCCCAAAAAATTAGATAAAAAGGGTCTTATATATACAGAATAGAAAATAATCATGACAATGGACATAAAATGTAAAACAAAAGAGAAATATGACCAAAATTATCATAGAATACAGATATGAAAGACCCCATCCAGAAACTAGTAAATGCTATAAGATGTGTCAATTATTTCGCATTAACGGAAAAAAAAATCCATATATTGTATAGGTTTTTTGCAGCAAAGTTCACGTATTGATGGTTTCAGAGAGTCACACCGAGCGAATATTTGAATTGAAGTAGATATTGTTCTTCCCGATTCAAAACAGAACTGATTGAAGATATAATTAATGATATTAAAAAATGGCAGGGTGCTTTTTAAATGTCGGACCGATGATATTTTTTTTCTATTTGAATAAATAAGAAAATCTCCAAAGCTTTACTCCAGAACCATGGAAAATATTTAAAACAGTAATGGGGATCTTTTTTAAGATCATGCTTGCATAACAAAACACAAATGCTTTAAAATGTTCATAACTTTCCTTACAGCAGAGTTTACAATTCGATATGCTTGTATCAGAACGGAACCTTTAACTAAGACGATGAATTGTAACAGTAAACTGATATTTTTTTTACATCTTATAGACACATAATAAATGGGTTGATGGATTGATTTGTGTAAACGTCCAGTTGCAAATACTACATGAATCTCAGGTGTAGGAAGAAATGCACTATTATAATAACACTGTACTAAATTGTAAGCAGCTTTACCTTTTGTACTTCAAAATATGAAAACAACGATGTCATTCAGGAATGAACTCTAAACTAGAATAAATAAGATCAAATCGATAAACACGTTACGCTTTCTCAACCCAAGCTCAATCTTGTTGTGGACTTTGAAAAAAGTTAGTTTAGCTTCTGCTTATTTGTGATCTTTTTCCATTTTAAACAAGAAATAAAAATTAATTATTTCAGTATAACTTGAGCCAAGGCGTGTGTTTTGCATGATCCTATAATTTGAAAATACACGAGTATGCATATACATGTATTTTATCAGAATGTTTATGTTTACAATTGAACATGTGTAATAATACAATAAAGAAAGAGCATGAATCAAGTATCCCTTAATAGGTGGCAAATGTGTCACTTGTATGTAAATGAAGGGATTTTCCTGACTGTGAAATGGTTCATCTTTTAGCACTACAGGGTACCTTAAAAGGAAAACCGTATGTGTTAATTACCAAAATTAATCTAATAACGCTAATTGTGTATAATAAAATCCAGATGTTGTAAAGAGATTGATAATATACAAATATACCAATTACGCAAGCCAAGAATATGCCAGATAAAGACATCGGTATCATTCTGTAATTAAACATGCAGTTTGTATTCGTGAAAACGTGTTAATACTTTGAAAAACGCAAATAATTAAAAAGTTTACATGCTAGAAAAATAAAGAAGAAATAAGAACAGTTACTGTAACATTGTATCTAAAAATATGTTGAAATTATATACTGTAAAACTGACTCTATTTTAAAAGAGTAAAATCCATTTTATTCCTTTTTATAAGCTTTTTCAATGTTTACCATAAATGAATGCAGATTTCATAAAGAAACACACAATTTTTACAATCTTCCATGCTTTTATTCTTATAATTGATAAAACTTACATTTAGTGTTCGGGGAATTTCCCAAAATATATGAAAGTTGTAAATATTTGTGGTAAAAATGTATGTGACAACTTTTTATTCGGGAATTTCCCCGAAATCACTTTCAACATTAATTAAAACTTTTGGTAGCATAGCTATGTGACAAGCAGATCTTAAACACATTTCGGGAAAAATCCCGAAAAAATAATCTAAATGTAAAATGTATAAAGCATATATGTCTTCAAACATTTCGGGAATTACCCCGATTACCCAACATATAAATATGCTATAACTTATAACTTATGACTAATGATTTCTTTTCAAATTTCGGGAAAAAGCCCCAAAAAACTAAATCACTTATCAAGCATGCTTTTGTTGAATAGATTTCTTTAACCATTTCCGGTAAAATCCCGAAACCAAATTTACAAAAATTTATGTTACAGATTTCTTCAAACATATCGGGAAAAATCCCGAAAAAAAACAAAATCTATATGCAAGATTTTAAATACTTCGGGATTTATCCCAAAAACCCAACGTATATGCTAGAACTCATGACTAATAATTGATTTTCACATTTCGGGAAAAATCCCGATAAAATAAATCTATTATCAGGCACACACTTGTTGCATAGATTTTTTTTACCCATTTCGGGAAAAATCCCGAAATAAAACTACAAGCAAAAATTATGTTACAGATTTCTTAAACATATTGGGAAAAATCCTGAAAAAGAAAATCTTTAAGATTTTACAACACAGAATTTTGATACATTTGAAAAGTTTTTATGTAAGTTTGTTTCCAACATTTGTTGAAATTTGATGATTAATAAAAGAAAATGTGTCAAATAGAAAAAAATATGAGATAAGTGCATATTACAAATTAAACATAAATATAATATTCCATTAAATAAACTGTTAACACAGATATAAATCTTATCTTTATGTATTTTTTGTTGTAAAATTCAAATGTGGAAATAAAATGGCATTACTTAAACTTATAAACTATGCAAAATAATTAAAATAGATGTACTAGGATTGAAAGAGCAAGGTTTTAAAAATTATTTCTTAATTAAAAAGACAAAGATTGATAGATATGGTATAAAATAATTCATATATGCAATTACTACGCACTAGTTAACTAATAAACTCACATATAGAACTACAATCACAACAATGTTTTATAAATAGCGGTTCCATTTATGGAGATAAAAGGTACCAACAAGATTTTCAGGATGTATAAAATAGAGAATGGAAATGGGGAATGTGTCAAAGAGACAACAACTCCACCATA